AATCCATCGATAGCCCTTCGAGAGTTACGTCCCTTCATGTGTGGTTACTGCTACGTTCAATCAACGTAAACCTATCGATAGCAGCATAGTACGTAAAGTATAAAAATAAAACAGACGATTATAGCATGTATGCATAACTTTTAGAGAAATGGACCACAATCACTAATTAAAAACAGATCTCTTTACTTGTTGAATCACAAAATAATCCTTCTAAGTTACTTTTCCCATAAATTTTATTGTAAACTTTCCTTTTACGCAGACCAATTTTTCTTGTTTTATAAAATTTCGACAGAACCTGGCAGGCACTCAATGATACGGTCACAGAAAAAATTCAAACTGATGTGGATGTACAACCAACAGTACTTATAAAAGGGGTCATACCTATAGCTACTATTGATATCTATGCAGATCACTGTTAGTAACGTCATAAAACGCGTTAGTTTTAGTGGAATTGCAAGGACCACAGATGTCGGAATGGAAATTGGAATAGCGCAAATTGATGCCATCAGTGTCCTCGATACACATACAAAGTTTATAAATACGCTTTACAATCCCTTTAATTTGAGCCCATTTATGGTCATATTTACCTAAAGACATTGCTCATTTAAATGTATTTGAAATAAACCATTTATACATGTATTATCCGAGAAGTGTGTGTTTGTATTCTTTTTCAGGGCTGAATTAAAGGGTGGGGGGTCAGCGGCTACCTCCAAATGATAACATACAAGTACATTTGGACGGAAAAATTTATGAATCTGAAACAGTAAGTAAACGTGAACAGACAGAAAAGTTCAACAAGCATACACCCACAAAGCTATATGCCTACACAACAGCAAATTTTATAGCAATATACAAGTGACAACAATAGACCCAATGAAAAGCAATGACGCAAAGTCCTTCAACTGTGAACACCATATACGTGAGCTCAATCTATATCCCAAATTTCATCCAAATCAGATAAAAACTTACGCTACACATACCCAGTTTCATCCAAGTTCACTGAAAACTTCGCCTTCTGAGGCAATTTTTACTTTTTGGACTAAGTCAGGGGCAACAACTTAAGAAGACTAGAATTGTATGATTATTGAATTTGATAATATTAAGATGAATACACATACATGTACCAAGTTTCATCCAAATCCATGAAAACTCTTTATTGTGTCTACAAGCCAATTTTGCTGTTTTCTTTTTACTAAATCAGGGGCAATAACTCGCAAACATTATCATCACTGGTTGGCCTTATTTGGTTATTGGTTGGTATACATGTATATGATGGTTGTTGCATTGGTTGCTAGTTAGTATCTGAGCGAACATCCAAAGTTACAGGAGCTGAAACAAATTTCGAACCTCCCCCGGACCCCCCAAATCCATTTCAGCCAAAAAAAAGAAAAAAAAATTGTGGTAGAAATTTGAAAATTTTCCTGATCAAAATGACTAAAAAATGGCCGATTGTGGCCAGCTTTGGGGTTAAATTAGCTCTTACAAACACCGCTACTGTAGACAGACCGTAGTTGCGACGAAGCTGTGTTTTGCAGGCTGGATAGCCAGGATCTGGTTCTACACGGCACCATAATTTAGGATGCCCTATCTCAACTGGTTCAAAAGTTACAGGAGCTGAAAGTTTGTCCTTTTTTGATAAAAATTGCTCAGTTTTTCACCTCTAGTTTTTCACCAAAATGCCGGAAACAAGTTTGAAACAAATTTCGAACCTCCCCCGGACCCCCCAGACCATTTCAGCCAAAAAAAAAGAAAAAAAATTTGTGTTCGAAATTTGAAAATTTTCCTGATCAAAATGACTAAAAAATGGCTCTTACTAAAACCGCTACTGTAGGCAGACCGTAGTTGCGACGAAGCTGTGTTTTGCAGAGTGGATAGCCAGGATCTGGTTCTACACGGCACCATACTTTAGGATGCCCTATCTCAACTGGTTCTAAAGTTACAGGAGCAGAAAGTTTGCCCTTTTTTGATAAAAATTGCTCAGTTTTTCGCCTCTAGGTTTTCACCAAAATGCCGGAAACAAAAAAAAAATTAAAAAAATTGTGGTTGATTTTGGCCAGTTTTGGGGTTAATTTTTTTTTGGTGGCCTAATACATATACTTCTTTACTCAATAGTTAATTTAACTCATTTAAAAACAGAATGAGTTTAATTTCAAAACACGAACAAAAAAATTCGATTGAGATGGTGAAGAACAAGCGTTTTGGAAAAGGATATAATTCATGTGACGTATATCTAGCGATTCTATAGGAGCGGTCTTGACCCTTGAACTATGACTGAATGATATGTCTCGTCTCCATTAGCCTATTTAAACGCAGAAGAGTAGGACGTCAAACTTCATTTATTTCAAATAATATTAAATTTTGTGTTTACAACTTTTCCACTTTATTTGCGAAATTGCTTTTTAGCGAAAAGAGATAAAACTTCAACATAAATTACATCGTTATGAAGTTCAATGCAAGTTCATGTGATCAAAGGAGAATAACTTATATTAAATATCGTCTGAGCCCAGTTCAGGTAAACAAATAAGTGATATTATATTTTCTGCAGTCAAAGATACTGAATACTGATTCATAGTTTCAATTAGTTATAGTTATTATTAGTTAAAGGTTACTTTCCAATCTAGGTTTAGGTGAGAAAGATTGGAAAAAGTCGACGGTAAAAAAAAGGCGAGGAAAACTCTAATTGATATATTCGTTATCAGCGGCTGTTTTGTTGTCGAGTCAGAAACATAACATCCGATTTTTATTTTGAGGATCAGTTATCAGTTTATTTCAAAAATCATTTACTCACAATAACATTAAATAGAATACTAAACTCCCATGAAACTCTGCTGATTGCTCTTACCCTTACTTGTAGATACTTAATTCAGTTTCAAAATTCGAAATTCAGCGTCGGAGAATAATATAATATAATCTTTTTATGTAAAAAAATCTAAATGGCAAAACCATCTCATTTGAGAATTTTCGGCAGATATTTGAGTTCGGTTCATCAGATATTTGAGTTCTGTTCATCAGATAATAATATAAGTAAGTAAGTAAGTACTCTACATGTATTGTCAATGCCTTTGCGTTTATTATGCGAAAACCAAAAATGGCAGAATGATTCCTATAAATATTTTTCAAGCTCTGCCAGATAACAGCAATATAAAAGTTGCAGCCTAATTAATATTTTATAAAAATCATAAATCGGGATTTGGGCCGGGAGGTTGTTCAACATTCCATTCCCATTGTTGATTCTCATATTCTTCTGAACAATCTTCTAATGTAACAGTTTCCATGTCGTCCTTTATTTCGAGGCATTTATCCAGTTCAGTGTTAAAAATTTGTTGGTTCTAACAATAAAAGAAATATTATAGGTCTAGAGACACCATCAAATACTGAACTTACAAATTTAATAAGTATAACTAAATAACTAATAACCCAGTAAATACAATCGCCGACACTTAGTATGCAGGCTTTGATAGATTTACCATAAGTGAGTATCCCGGAACAGGCCTCAGGCTATTTTTTAAAAAAGGTTGCAGATCGGAAAAGCTGACATGACAAAAGCATTTACTTGTTCGGATGGAACAATTAGCCGAGGCCTTTTTGTTTCTGTGCACGTTAAAGATCCCTGGAAAGGTCAACTCTTCATTAGCCAAATCATGAAAATCCCTTATTGTTTGATTTTCAATGAAACCATCTACCCAATATTATTCCTTAAATCTTTTTTTCATCATATATGCTCACCTTAGTATATTTCCAATGCATCGCTGTAGTTTCACAGACATTTAGAGAGACACTTAAACTTGTTTCGTTATCACCACCAACATTATCATCGTCTCCATCAGATCGAATGGTCGACCAACAACTATTCAGTCGTCTGATACCTTCATCACACAAATACCACATCTAACATACAATATAGTGATATCAAGGAAACATTGGAATTACAAGGGCAATAATTCATATATGAATAATTTTCGATCGATTAATAAATCAATGATTATTAACTAATCTTAACCATTATTAGAGGCAATGCTGATTAGGGTGAAATAGTGGGTCAAGTTTGAATTTACGACCCGTTTATGCCTAAATAGCCACTATCGCAGATTTTCGCAACCTATTCCCCCACTTTGCCCACCAATTAGCCATCATTTGACGAATCATGCCTTTTCACACAGCAGACGGAAACTTCTGTAAATACCTCATTATTATGCATCATCGGACGCAATAAGTAAAAAGTTTACAAATGGAATTGCAAATTTCATAAAAGGGACATTGTGGATTGTTTATGAGTAATTTGTTAAAGGGTGTGTCAAAATGTTTTTTGACGAAATTTTAACAAACCTGAAATTTGGATCTCATTCCTGAGGTACATTCATTGCCGTATAAAGAATCTCTCATGAAACTCAAACTATCGTCAGTTAATTCGGCACAAATATTGTTATACTTCATACTTCTAATCTATTAATTAAAAAAAACCTATTTGTTTATTTGTTACTTGCGTGCTTCTAGATAAATATTTACAGCGAACCATCCAACTGAAACAGACAATGTTCAGCTGATTATTCTCGTTAGAAAAGAAAAAGAAAGAAACAACTATATTTTACATGGGTAATAACTTAGGTTCACAATTTAGGATCCTCTCTACCAGTTGGTCCTTGACAAAACCTCTTGGCATTGATGTTTCCCGCATTGATCTTTCCCGTATTATCAGTACCCATTTACAGACTGGAGTTCTGAGTGAAGAATAAAGTCGTTAAGAAACCAGCTACTATTGACAAGCAATTATTCACTATTCAACAGTAGGCACTAAAATTAAGTTTTAAAAATATTTTCGTGTTAATATTAATTGAATTAAAATATTAGAGGAATCCAATTCATTTCTTTTCCCTTAATTCATCGATTTCAAGATTTTCGAAATTATGTCACCCGTAAGGATACTAAATGTTGTATCTAATGCTCAAGAGCTCGAAATACAGTAGAAATATAAAAGCACAGAATTATCATGTATAGACTGATTATTTTTGTACAATGTAACCAACTGATAGCCTTACTGATCCCCAGGCATGACATCTTGATGGAATAAAAGTTTTTGGTGCAATTTCTTTGATATACCACTCGAAACTTCTACATTTTAATTTTTCTTTAATAGCTTTCCTCGAGCTGATGTCGCCAATGTCAATAGTTTTCTGCAAATAAATTTCTTTTATTTTAGTAAAATGCTTTGTCACAATCTGCTTCTTTTTTGACTTCGGTACATAGAGGCAAGGTTTTACAATTTTAGAAACAAGCCACCCCAGTTCAACACTAGGAACTGCACAATAAGAAATATCTGATAAAAAAAAGCATGTCAAATTTCACAAATTTCTCTGTTGGACAGATGAAGCAAGATCGAATAATTTCAAAAATTTATCAAAAGTTGAAAACATACCACATGGTCTTTCCCATAATATTGGTAAACGAATTCCTTATATTCATCTAACCAGACTTCAGCCAACCGTAATGAATTGCGGCCTCTATAATCCTGTGTTGGAACATCATAGGGAAGATTTCCATTTCTCCATACATGCCCAACACGAGAACAGGGGATCATTTCTACTTTTCCGTGGCACATCCATGCCTGTTAATACAAAACAGTCATGATCAAAATTTTCGTCATCATCTGACAGGACAGTAATACTGGCAACCTTTTCATCATCTGACAAGACAGTAATACTGACGGCCTTTTCATCATCTGACAGGACAGTAATACTGACTGTCTTTACATCATCTGACAAGACAGTAATACTGATGGTATTTTCATCATCTGACATTAATACAGGCTGAAGAGACATTTGAAATTGATATTCCGGATCTATCTAACTATTTTTCCTTGCATATAAAATACATGTAAATGTAAAAATAAAAACCTTGGAAATTGAAAAATTCATTTGTAGACTTATTTTTAATCATTTTTCATTTTTATTTATTATAGGTATGTTGTCTGATGCGTGAAGAAAATAGAAGGATTGACACGACTTGATTCTACTGTTTTCTACTGTATCGATAATCCCGCACCGAACACCACGCCACCTAAAGGGACATACACGAGTAACGGGTTCTGACACAAGACTTTTCGCGGCTTAATGCGATTATTATTATAATCTAGATATTGTTTGGTAGTAAAAGTAACGCTTCCGCTAGATTTCGATTTTTTAAGAAAAAATTTGAATTTTTTGTTTTTTGCGCAAGCTGGGCAATATTTTTCAGGTATTAGTAATAGTGGTACAAAGTTTTAAAAATCAAGAACCTCGAATGCTACAATATATACCATAATCAACTTATTTTTACGGTCTCATTGGTTTTGGATTAAACAGAGTACAAAAATGTGAAAATTATTGATACTTACTTTGAAAGCTAATTCAAGATTTTCTGCTCCCCATATCAGAAATCCTTCATCAAACATACCAATTTCGGTGAAAAACTTTCGACTTACACCTATAAAACCTCCAGTAAGCGTTGCTGTCCTTCAAAACAAAAACGTGTTTTAGTCGGTGTTTGATTAGGTACTAAAAATCTTAAAACTGTTTCCTAAAAAGTGAACCGGGGTCTTGAAGACTTAACTTCACATAATGTTAGTGTTTAGGTCATCTGATTGGTCAGTCACTAACAACGATTTTAAATTTAGTTCTGCTATCCATTCACATTACTGTATTTATTCAAATATGATTTATGCGCTGCATCTGTACAAATTGATACTGAACTTTGTTAACAGTAAATTGAATCCACGATTATGAGCTATACCAGATTCACAATGTCAAGCTATTACGATCTTCGTCTTCTACCTTGACTTTCTTGTATTTGGAATACAACCAAGCGTAGCCCTCGACAAACAGGCTGGCTTAATGTTTACAGACTTCCTTTCGAGGACTTTGATTGGCGATATTCGTTAACGTTATCTAATCAAATCGCTGAATTTGCAAACTTCCGTGATACAAGATAGGTGGCTATTCCAGTCAGGGTATAAGACGAAGTTCGCTTTACCTACTTAATAGGTTCTATCCTGTTTTTACTGTCAGTTATTGTCCAATCATACATTAGATCCCACGTAAATACAACTGTTTCCGATTGATCGCATATAGTGTATCCGAAGTCGATGGCGTCAATATCGTCAAAAATAGCTGACACAACTGTCCGATAATCTCGTTTGATCCGATCAAGAAGCGGTTCTAGCCAACCTGGAATAAATATGCCAACAAATGAGTAAGGTACGTCAACACTCACAAAATGGCTGGCGATGCCAAACATCCAATCGCACAGAGGTATCAATTGTATCAGATGTATATCCTCGCCAGCAACACTTTATAAATAATGTTTTAGATGTTTAACGTAAGACTATGTTTAGCTATTAATTGTTTTTTCCTTTAGGAATGGCGAAAAATCGTGAACGAAATATTATCTTACCATTTGTGACTTCGCAATGGGAATCCATAAAAATCACCACAGGGGCCGTGGTGTGATTGAATCCTAGTATTCGTGATTGCACCAAACCCTGTCTTTTCTTTAGGCGCTCTATAGATACCTTAGGGAAGTTAGCCATATAATCATCTAAAGGCTTGCCAAGATGTTCTGGAAAGACAACCCAAGGAAGTAATATTACAGCATCGTCTTCAAAAGACTGCACTATTTATCCGAATTGACATTAGCATGTCATAATCCTTTAGTTATAACTTCATATTCAAAACGCCATTTGCAAATTCTCGTCAATGACTTGAATATAATATATTCTGGAAATGGCGTTTAACTAGTATTACAACGATGATCAATGTCACTTCTGTTTCGCTACAAAGTCGTGTATGATCATGGTATATTGCTTATTCTTAGAATAATTCATAAGCATGCACATCAAGTGAAGAAAAGGGAATCTGAAACTTTCTAAGTAGCCTCTTAGTTTAAAACAGAATTCTCTGTGCCTACGATAAGATATACCTGATGCACTTACCCATCTGAGAAGCATCATCAGCAAGAACAATCTCTTTCAGTAGTTCTGGTGGTGAACGATTTAAAATACTGTGTACAGTTCGAACTAAAACTGAAAAACTTTCATTCAAAAATGGTATAACAACACTGACTTGTGGTAGGTTTTCATATCTTATGTTCTTACATCTGAAAAGAAGAAGGGACAGTCTGGGACAAATTAAATTTTAGAGCTGAATAATTGTCGGTCCGTTGTATTATATCAAAGGATGGAACAGACGAGGTACGATATCCGGTGCATGATTATCGATACAGTTGAAAAAAGAAGAAAATGAAAGGAGTATTATGTCCTACTCATTTGCACCTGGAATTAGAAGAAGTGAACACACAATGTATGGGTCCGGGAACATGATATCATGTACTGTTTCGATCTACTGTATCGATAATCACGCACGGTACGGGGCCTAATGCGAATTTGAGCTCTTGGTGTGGTATGGTTAGGACTTACCGTATTCCTTTACAGTTTAGAACTAGTCTTTGATGATGTAGTGCTAAGTGCCCACCAAAGACATTTATTTCAATCGGAAGTAAGGCACGCAATTACTTACTATCGTCATAAGTCTTAACTTACTCTGGCCACCGAACATCCGGCAAGGATCTGTTGACAGATATCATATCACTAACAAACTGGTTGAAAGAATTCTTCTCAAAACCTAAATCCCATAATGTCTTATTTTCGTCTGTTAGCATCTCTCTGTCGATTTTTACAGGTTGTCCCATTTCACCTGAAAAAGAAACCTACAGTGTGTCTATACGCTGTTAATGTTACCACTTTTAAATTATGCACCTTTTCCAAAAACGAAAAAATGATATCATCTCAATTGAATTAAAAAGCGTACCGAGACTCTTTTATTTGTTAATTTCTAGTTGAGATTTTTAAAAGAAAGCAACTGGACTGTTTATCTATTTTTCCAATGACCATTCTTATGAACTTTGAACATTTCAAAAAAGCCGATTGGTGTTTTTGGTAAAAGATACAGCTGAAATTTTCTTTCTGACAATGCATATGTATAGATCAAAATGTTGCACGCACCAGAGTTTTAAGAAATAATACAAAATTTTACAAAAGGTTTATTTAGATATAAACTGGTGTCCAAAAGAAACGATACCACCTGTTTGCAACGACATAAAAGAAAAACTAAACAATGCAGAAGTTTAGGATTGGTGTTATGCTTTTGAGAAATCCTTTCACAACATCTGTACAAAAATTTCATTTCAATAAAATCTGTACAACCAATATGACAAGCCTTTAAAGATGGGTGGGGTCGAAAAAAGAACATTTCGTTAGAGCACTGATCACAGAAACAACGGGAAATGTCACACCACACGTCACAAAGTCAAGTCAGTAGTGGGTATGTCCACCGTGAGCATCATTACATGCCAGAACACGCCTACGGACTGATGCCGTCAAACGTCTGATGACGTTGGGAGTGATGCGTTGCCATTCCTCGAGGAGACATCGTTCCAAGTCTTGGACGTTGACTGGAGGCACACGGCGACGTCGGATTTGCCGATCGAGGTGGTCCCATAAGTGCTCGATGGGATTCATGTCCGGTGAACATGCGGGCCATGGCAAAACC